GATAGGGCATGTCTTTGTATGACGGTTGAGTGGATGTACGCAGGATTCACGGTTTACCAGATTCAACCTCCGGAGCAAGCTACGTCATCATCATTCACTTCGTAGATAGGGCGTCATTTTTTTTTCTATTACAGTCTAGATACATCTAGCCATTTGAGTGCCATCATCACAAAGACTAAAGAAAACATGACGAGAAGTTGAAACACATGATTTGTCACGGACTGGTCACTATTTTATATGCTATGAAAGCACCCGCACAGCCTGGGCTTTAAGTAAACACTTCGTCTGTGGATCACTAATCACTAATAACTGTGGCTCTGTGATTGGTAACGTTGGAAACATTCGATCACAGACTTGCTACGCCACTCGACTGTTTCCACGACACATATAAATATGGTAGCAGCTGGTTCCATGGAATATCTGTAGAAATAAGTAGACATTAAACTTTAAGCTTTGCGCTTAGTTTTTGCATTCCAAATTCAGCGCTTATGTTAGTGATCTACTGTAGAGTGTTACAGCCTTCAAGAAGTAGCAAAGAAAGTAACTCCGATATTACAGGAGTTTCGAAGGCATCGGCCTAGCGTAGTTCAAAAGTGTGAATAAATATACAAGAGTTTCTGATGGCACTCGGAACATAAAAGCTTTTGCGTTTCAGGCGTGAAAACAGACTCGATGAGTCACCTTCTGATTAAGACGGGTGGACTGAGAGCTTTGCATTGTCATTTGTCAGTAGGCGCGGGCACAGGAGTTTTCCCAAGAAGAGTTCAGCTCACGGGAAATGCATGGTGAGCATCGGGAGTCCCTGACAGATCTCCTTGGAAGTAAGCAACACAAATTAAGCAGGGACAAGGTGGTTCTGCACATGTTTACCCACTTTCTCGGTCTGCAGCAAGAATAGTGTTTTACACTACTGGTGTTTCGATTTAGATGCACGTTAAACAACCCCGGAGGTAAATTTCCCTTGCAAGTTTGTACCATGTAGCGTAAGTCCCCATCGTGTTTCAATGTTGTTCCGTTGAAAACTTTCATGCATAGTTAGCATAGTATAATTTTCTCCCCCCCCCCCCCCCCCCCCCCCCGCGCGTTCACTGCTCGACCTTCCAGGTAAACTTGTCGGAGCCATACTCAGAAAAAGAGAAGTGGTAGGGAAAAAACCAAGGCAGTGTAGCATGAAAAAAAAAAGATTTGTTCCAATAGTCTAACTGTGGTTTAAGGATAGCACGTGTACAGTAATAGCACATGTAAAGCTTTTGTGAAATGTCAATGAGAACCCAATAATCTGCCAGTGGCTTTCCTGCAAGAACCCAGGCAAACACTGGTTAACAGGCTCGTTTGGAGCAGTAAGCTTTTTTAGGGCTCCTTCAGCACTACACATTCCAGCGAAGGCATACAAAAGGACAAATGACAAAAAAGAAAGCCAGGAACATGGGGTGTTGAAAAAAAATGTTTTTTTCTGCTATTCTGAACCAAGCTGTTTGTTGGGAAAATAGGCGAAAATGCTATAAGCCCGTGTGCCCAGATTTGGGTGCACCTTAAAGAACCCCAGGTGGTCGAAATTTTCAGAGCCCTCCACTGCGGCGTTTCTCTGGATCATATGGTGGTTTTGGGACGTTAAATTCCACATATTAATCAATCAACCAACCAATCAATCAATCGATCAATCAATCAATCAATGAATCAATAAATCATCGTTTGGAAAATACACTCGCTCTCACTTTCCCAGCAATCGCCCCGCCGCGGTGGTTTAGTGGCTAAGGTACTTGGCTGCTGACCCGCCAGCCGCAGGTTCGAATCCCGGCTGCGGCGGCTGCATTTCCGATGGAGGCGGAAATGTTGTAGGCCCGTGTGCTCAGATTTGGGTGCACGTTAAAGAACCCCAGGTGGCCTAAATTTCCGGAGCCCTCCACTACGGCGTCTCTCATAATCATATGGAGGTTTTCGGGACGCTAAACCCCACATATCAATCAAATCAATCCCAGCAATTATTTTGCTGTGTCCTTCGAGAAAGCTGATGGCGTTCCATCTTCTTTTGTCCGTCACCGCACGTACGTTAAATCAAACTCGACGCTAAAAAAAGTATCTGCTTTTGCCATTGTTTCCGTAGAAAACACAGAAAGTTCGTAGGTTCGGACACCTGATAATTCAATCGGCAGCAAAACTAAAAATTCAACAGATCTACTGATAAATAAGCAGATGTGGCAACACTGCGCTGCTCACGGGGAAGGAGAGAATCGATAAACTACACAATTGACTGCAATGAAACGTGCCCATTAACGAAACATCCCACGTGCCTCCTCAAAAATAGAAGCAGGCTGCTGTTCTTCATATCGTTTCTTTATAGTTCTTCATTATTTATTCATATCGATTGTTACTGCAGTTGGCAACTTTAGGGTGTAGTTGACTTAAGTCGGCAAGGGAACATCGTGGAGTAAGTTGGCAACTATAATTTCTATTGTTTATAACTATTCTTGATAAAGTTTTCACGAGGAGAGGCTACGATACTTCCGGCTCAGGCAGTTGCTGCAGACGTTCAAATTTATTATGCTACCCTTCGGAATGAAGCGAACGCTGGTACACGAAATCCGTCTCTCAAACTCCACCACCGATCAAACTTTGAACAATGAGCCCATGTTCGAGTAACGCGGCACCAAATTGCAAATATGGAATTAATCGGCCTCTCTTGCACCAGACAGGATAAGGTGAGAAGGTCACGATTGGCGGAGTTCTTGTAATTACGTACCCTGGAAGTCGAGTAACGCGGCACCAAATTGCAAATATGGAATTAATCGGCCTCCCCTCCACCAGACAGGATAAGGTGAGAAGGTCACGATTGGCGGAGTCCTTGTAATTACGTGCCCTGTAAGTCGCAATGGTATATATGTGTTCGACGGAGTTCAAGGAGCCAAACGTCAGTGCGATGTTGCATGGCATTGAGGTGGTGAAAGTGGTACACCGCTAGGTTATAAAGTAATTATCAAGCAAGGAACAGCACTACCGCCATTTAGTGAGATACGCTCACGCTTCTTTGCGCACCTATACAGGGTAGCTATTTAAGTCGAACAGAAATGATTGTTTTATCAACCCACGTCTGTCTTCGACTCATACGCGCCTGCTGTACCACACCTCATTGCCTCACCTTCCTTGCCCTCCTTCGTTTAGCCTGTACAACGTGCTTCCTTTTGTATAAACTCGCCCGATTTAAATCACCCATCCGGTAACGGGTGGGAATTTCATGTATAATCTTTTTAGACTGGTGCGTTAATACTAAATTGCGAGTCATCACACTACATATAGTTTTTTTTTCTTTTCTGTAGATGTGCATGGTGAGATTAAAACATAATCTCGGCTTTTCTGCTTGATGATGATTGATTTGTGGGGTTTAACGTCCCAAAACCACCATATGATTATGAGAGACGCCGTAGTGGAGGGCTCCGGAAATTTCGACCACCTGGGGTTCTTTAACGTGCACCCAAATCTGAGCACACGGGCCTACAACATTTCCGCCTCCATCGGAAATGCAGCCGCCGCAGCCGGGATTCGAACGCGCAACCTGCGGGTCAGCAGCCGAGTACCTTAGCCACTAGACCACCACGGCGGGGCCTGCTTTTCTGCTTCTCCGTGACGCTGATCATTGCTCCCTGCAGGGCCGACGCTCTTCCTCCATGTATAACAGGTACTGCTGGAGACCTTCAGAAACACGTTGAAATCAATGGGGGATTTGCTTGTATTCCTGCAACCATATGGCGAATATGCATTGCATGAAATCGCAAGATTTACTTAAGCAGTTCAATAAAGGCTATTGTGAAATTAATAACCATCGTGGGAACGCTGGAGAGGAGTATGCGTTAGTGTAACAAAATTTTGCCCCTTTTCATACCCCTTTGTTGATATTGGCTGGAGCGAAGCAACACAGTTATATAAATTATATCGAGGCAAGTGCGTTATCTTTTTTTTTTACGTTGGCAAAAGCGGATAGCCAATACTGCGGCCCCTCATGACTACAAGCAACAGCGACAGCGCTTAATAAAATAAATGGCTTGATATCACGGTCATCAAAGTTGCCCTAAAGTTCACTGTAGAACAGCCGTTCCCCAATTTTAGGTGAACAAAACCTAATTAGCAACTTCTGAAGCGACAAGAGCCCAATAATGGTTTTCTTGCTTTCGCGATGTTCTTCTTAAAAGCATTTTCAGAGTATTGCCGATGTCCTTATCATCCCTCCAAAGCAATGTATTACTAATAAACTTTTAAACCAGTGCTTGGAGGCTGTTCAGAAGAAAAACTTTTATGTACCAAGAGATCCTAGCTGACTGTATATTCAGCAGAAATTCAATTTTATTCTGCCAATATCGTGCTGTTAGATGAGCCTACAAGCGGGCAAGAAACTGCATCAATCGGTTCGTGTTATTTTGCTGTATTTCGTCGCAATTTTGTGCCCTAAGGAAAACAATCTTTGATAAATAGCTTTCAACTACCAGTGACTAATTTATTTTAGCATAAGCATATTCTACAATATCTGCTTCAATCACGGCGCCTGAGCGTTGAACCTGCAGTCAAACAGTGTGCAGAGCATTTGTACGTCAACCTTAACAATTTTCCGATTTGTCGCAGTCATATTTGGATCGTTCTTGATAAGTTCATCATCCCCACGGCTTGTGTGGCTTGAATTATGAGTTATCATCCGTGGCTTGTCACAGCGTAATTTCACGTTGAAATCATAAGGATCTTTGTAGAGGACACACGATACAAATGGAATCTAGTGTGACCCAATTTGTTTCTGGGTTTCATCTACAGTTGTGACCTTGCGGTTCGGAGCTGTCGGGGCAAACTTTTTTGTACAGGGGTGCAATGATGATCCCTACAACGAAGTGACGTCGTAACTCCATCCACTTTGACAAATCAGTTTTCTGTCCACTGTGTTTCACATAGAAATATTTTTTTCGTGCGTGAAAACTCCTTCTGTGGCCTTTAAAAGCCGCAGTGTGAATCTCCTGCTTCACAACCTCACCGGGACTCTGAAGCTGCACAGCTTTCTGGTAGCTTAATTCAAAGGTAAGCCAATTATTTTCAAAATTTAGTGCCTCTATTAAGAATACACATTCTGGCACATTTCTCACATGAACGCAATTTCTACTTACTACGCATTTCAATATAACTTCGGAAAAAGCCACCGAGAAGAATTTTGAAGATTGCCTGTAACAGTTCTTCGTGTACGTCTGCAGTCGGCGTGATTATAAAGATATTCGAAGGGATCAATCGGTCCATTTTGAAAGGAGACCCATATAAAATCATTGGATTTTTCAATATTACCGAACGCTGCCACGTCTCTAGTTTCCCTATTTAAAAACAGGTGAAGTTTGCAGTAAGCCACGAGAGGCTTGAAACAGCGAGATTCAACGACCTTTTGTGGAAAAAAAGGTCACTCGAAACACGGTGTCTCGAAACACGGTGTTGAGGAGAAACGTTTAAAATTTGAAGATTTTTATAGCGACCTTACGCATAGTTTGCAAATGCTTGTATGGGCAAGTGCACGAGTTCTTTATGCGATTAGAATTTTTTCATCGACTACTTGGGCACAGAACATTCCACGTGATAATCCAACATCTATCAGACATATCACGACTTCAGCCTACTTATTGCGATAGTGTCTGCATTATTACCGCATATGTTATGTATTCGGTTACGGTTTGTCAGGACCTGTGATCTACTTAACATATAAAAAAATGAAAAGCAAGCTGGCAGGAATGCTTAAATATTGTATTTAGTCCTCAATTTCTTCATTCATCTCCAATGCCAAAAGACCGAGACAGTGGTAACTTCTTGGCTCACTGCGGTCTAGCGCACACGATTTTGCACGCATATGTACTTTTCCCCTGCGTAACTCGTTTGATCTTTCATCTTCGCAGTTGTGAGACATGGACGGCTTCCTTGCCAAGCACCTCGCTATGGGGCTTGCTAGTGCACTCGGTACGTATAAGCGATCTTACCTAAGTAAACTTTTCGCTTGACATACTTTCAGTAAGGTTAAAGCTGCGCGAACAAAGAGAAGAGGCTAAAAGTACGGCTAAACACCACCGGCCCATCTCACTTGCTCGTTGCTTCAGTCTGCCATAGTTTTTTTTTACGCAATTTAACGTCACTCTAACAGTCAACTAACCAGCCTTCAAGGATCTCCTATTGAAGCTTTATATGAGCAAGCGGGTGCTTTGTGAGCGCCACAGCGAGACCTCACGTTAAGGTTTCTCGCACCGTGAGAAAATATGCCACAAATTCATAAAAACGCTGATGCATATAGACGCGAAATAGCCCCCGCACTGAGTACCAAATCACCGATACATCAGTTGGATGCCAATCGAGGCTTTGGCTACTCATTCGGACATGCCACATTCACCTCATAGAACATGGTGGCTTAACGCTTTCAAACTGAGCTCATGTTAGTACGCAAGGATTAAGCCTACGTAACAAATACGTACCAAAGCAACCTGTCAGTGGCTTCCACTGATGGTGAAGTAATGTTAAAATTTATTCCAGTTCACGGTACTATTGTTGGCGGCAACTTATCTTGGCACTGGAGCAAAGGCTACAGAGCTGGGGTATTATAGCACAAGTGTCTTACTACGCTAGTAGTCCGGCACCTTGCCGACAATTTCCGTTCCAGTTTCGAATTTCTTGCTCGAAGCACTAAAACATTTACAGGAACACGTTTACGCAAAACGTGAACGGGAGTGTGACATTCTGATCACTGTGCATAAATGCATGTAGTTAGTATACACACACTAACATTGAGAAAATAAACGCGTTTCGGAAAGTTTTCACAGAGTTATACAATCTTTATGAAAATAAAGCTTAGTTTCAGTGTATTCGTGCAATCAATAGATCGTACAGTTAATTGGCCATACCGAGGTACAAGTATATTTTTTTATATGAATTTGCATATAAAGATATAGATACGGTACAAATGCTCCGTATTTATATGCTTGTTCCAAGTGTACTTTCTGTTTTTTCTTTTATTTTTTTCAGTCGCGCTGATCATTGCCCCCTACAGCGCTGAAGCGGTTCCTCCGGGCGTAATCGAAGCTGCAGCAGAGGCGCTTGGAAACTTTTTTGGAAGGAACGAGGAAAAGTCCGAGGAGTAAGGTGTTCGTCAACGTATAACCATGTGGTCATCCTGCAGTGCAAGAGAGTGCAAAGCCTTACAAAATTCAACAAATTAAACGAAGCAACAAACTGGTGTAGAACACAATAAATATATCAAAAACATTCGTTACCGCAACAAATTGGTTATTTTTTAACACGTAAGTGTTTTACGCCGGGGTACACCACGGCTCCACTGACATATTCTCATCATGTGTTACACGTTGCAAAATATACGCAAACAGGTGGCGAAAAATTCACTAGATACCACGTACCTGGGAATCGACGGTATACGAAGCATGGGGAGGGAAGGTGACCGTGAGCATTTTTTTTATTGAGCGACACGTCATGGAAGGACGATAAATATATTGTGAGCGCGCAGGGAATGACTCTTTATTCTCTATAGATTTGCCCCACGGTGGTGGTCTAGTGGCTAAGGTACTCAGTTGCTGACCCGCAGGTCGCGGGATCGAATTCCGGATGTGGCGGCTGCATTTTCGATGAAGGTGAAAATGCTGTGGGCCCGTGTGCTCAGATTTGGGTGCACGTTAAAGAACCCCAGGTGGTCGAAATTTCCCGATCCCTCCATTAAGGCGTCTCTCATAATCATATGGCGATTTGGGGACGTTAAACCCCACATACCAATCAAGCGAACATAGGTGATAGTTCAAGTTGTAAGAGTTTTAAACGAGTATGCTCACAAAAATAGTTGTGATTATGTAATTCAAATTAACTACATCAGTCGCAAAATTTTAAGATGTTATAAAGATAGGATGCGTCATACCATTAGTCATGTTTCTAACTGTTGTACTATGTGCGCACACATCTCATATCTGCACAGAGCAGTTTTCTGTGGCCTATTTTAGATGTTGCATCTTCGCTAACGACAGAGAACGAGAGGTACTGATCATATAAGGTACTGATCACTACAAAGAAGGTCAAGCTTAATTGCGTTGCTGGCTTCGCACCATTGAGCTGAACGCCAGGCACCTGACAAGCCATGGGCGGCGTCACCAGTTCATGGCAATGGGTTTCAGTGCTTTTGTACGCAAACGACTTTATAAATATAAAGGGTTATGTGGACTATCTCTGAGACAAAAAGGGTTAATGTTTTAGAGGAAAAAGTAAGGCCTACAAAATGGAAAATAACTTGTCTACTGAAAAATAAAAAAGAATTCTTGGCATTTTGTCTATTACTACAATATGATCGGATACTATCAAGTAAGCTTTTCATAATGCACTAAAATACGGCCACCATAAACAAAAAACTTCCCGCTGTTTAAAGAATGAATGAAATCGTTGGTACCATATGAGAGAAAGCGTGCATTTAGGCCACATTACTGTGAAGGCGAACTCTGCAAACAGCCCAGGCGCTTTTAGAGCTTATAGAAAACTAGGGCATGATAGACAAAAGCAAAACTGGCCAGTTATCTGCAGAAGTTAGCACTCAGCGTAAGCGATGTACTAGCTGCCATAGTTGGCAGTCAGTTCTCGGCCATCATTTGGTGGGATCGGGCAGTGGCCCTGTGCCATTTCCACCAATGACAGGCTCAGGCTCAGAATGCCCGATTGTACCGTATAGTGCGTGTCTTGGAGTCTCTCAGGCTGTCACAAGTATAGGGCAGTACATCAGTAGCGACTGAATGTGAAGGCAATGATATGTGAATTGTGTGTTTTATATTATTCTGAGCACTTTCAAACATAAAAAAAACGTTTTTCGAAGTGCTTTGACTGGTTGATCAATAGCAAGGTTTTTAGCAGCATCAGTCCATTTTTTTGCAACAGAAGACATCACAAGCAATTTTTTTTTCATTAAAATGCTTTATATAGTCACGCGCAACTTCAGAATACCGCGGTATACTTTTCTCAACAGCAGATGCACACAATCATACAAACCTGCCATAATGGGCAAGCACTCGAGAGTGACATGAACGGCCAGCCAGTAACGCCACCCTCGGGGAAATCAGGTAGCCCACCCATTAAATTTGAATGAAGAAGCTCTGCCTCTACTGGTTGTGACAATAATATATAGCGATTGTTGGGGTTTAACGTCTCAAAACCCCAATATTCTGAGAGACGCCAAAATGAATCAATTCGGAAATTTTGAGTACGTGGAGTGTGCGAAATAAATAATTCCGAGTACGCAAGCCTTAGGAAATTTTACTTGTGATGAAAATGCGGCCACTACGGCCGGAATATGATCCTATAGATAACCTTCGAGTCTGTGGGATATCTTCTAATCAACTAGACTACCATGACAGCTACTTTAATGAATTTCACGCGCACATTCGTTTCAATGGCAAACCGACCGTTTAGCCCACTTTATTATGCTCAAGCGAGCATATTATAGATGGGGCAGGAGTGAAATTCACTGACAAGTAAACCGTGTTTGCAATGGATTCAAAGAATAGTTAGATAAGTGGTATGTAACATTCTAAAACCGCCATATGATTATGAGAGATGCCGTAGTGGAGGGCTTCGAGAATGTTGACCACCTGGAGTTCTTTAACGTGCAACCAAATCTGAGCACATGAGCCGACAGAACGTGTGCCTCCATTGAAAATGCCGCCACCGCATTCGGTATTCGAAATGGAATCGATTATGTGCCCACTCACACCAAAGTAAAAAAAAAAGATCTCCCCCCCCCCCCCCCCCTAGAATTCACAAGCATGTTGGATGGCTTGACATCTGAAAGTCACACAACACAAAACCAAGAAATGTCGTTTTCTGCACCAATTAAGCTCGTTATATCAGCAGTGCTTTTTATTGGGCAAATTTTAAAAGCGCAGGTACTACAACATGAAGCTTATGAAAGCCACTATGTGCAATATTTACTGAAAGGCTAAGGAGTGGCCGACGCCTTACTTGTGCGCCAAAATATACTTACATATCATAATAATAAAAAAAAGTTAATGGGGAATAGAGTTATATTTCGAGAAAGGCAATAGCGTCTTGAAATATTTGACATGTTCATGGTCAATTCATCTCGCTGCAGTTTTCAAGTTTTAAAGGAGCTTTTTAACACTTTAGCAGACAATCAGAAAATGACTACAATTTGTAGTTAAGGGTCCTGTGATTATGCGAGCCAAATATTTTTGATGCAGTGTGGAACCGAACTTTGTCTTAAGTGACCAAAACCTTCTTGCTTTTGTTCACACTGTTACGTGGCTGGTTGGAGCAACGGTGGAAGATATCACAAGTTGCACGCCACATTGTGTAGGTAGTACAGCTTCCACAAAGTGTTGACACATCTCCATTAGAAATAGCAGCAAAACGAACAAAGCAAAAAGAAGCGGATATGCTCAGGCCAGGACGTACAGCGGCATAACTTTTTGCTGGTACACGACCCTGTTGCCATTCACCCTTAAGTAACGACCAGCATGCAGGTGGTGAAATAAAAAGAACGAGTGCGTTTTACGCTACACCTACACTTCTGCTCTAAAGATTACAGATACTTTTTGCAACAAGGAATCGATAAGACAGCATGGTCCAATAGTTACATCTTTCTATAACGACTTTCAATGTCATTGCAAGGCTATTCAGTATTCTGCAGGCTACAGTATAACGCCCTAAATTTTAGTAAAGGCATCCGAATGCCATAATCCTACAGTGAATACACACATTGCCGACTGGCTTCATTATGTGTTGGCAGTGGGTTCGAAATTTTTTCAGCATGAAATACTCATATGCACAGGAAAGGAAAATCTCTTTTTAAAAATGCAACTTCAATAGAACAAAGGGCTCTGATGAGATTCTTTCCATACTTCTGTACAGCACCTCCGTTTCTCAGTAAATGAAACTCCGGTTAAAGTGAACATATGAACGGGATAGCGTTAAAGAGCTCGTTTAGCCTAAATCCTGGCGTCGGTGTTGCTGTAGTTGTCGGCGTCTTTGGTTACGAGCGAAAAACCATCTTTCTGACCACGACTGAACAATCGAGAAGGACGACTAACGAAAATTTCCGGGCCCGAGTGAGGCACGAACCCGCGCCGTTTACGTGGCATGCAGGTGTTCTACTGCAGAACCACTTTTCTTTCTTCGAAATTCAATTAGAATAACTTCATTTACTTGAAAATAGTGCAAATAACTCTTCATTTTCACGCACGCGCGTCGTGTAAGCACTCTTCCCAATACGAGACGAAAGGCGCAGTAATTTTGCGTGGCACAAGCGTACATTGCCATCCGGCGTGATAACATGGGATCATCATAATGACTTCGTAGTTTCGAGCCAGCCACAGATTACAAAAGGCCCACGCGTCGCTGCGAGTATTCTTCTAAGACAACGTACGAGAGAAAACAGCTACGCAAATTGTAATAAAGCTAGTCGAAAGTTCGGTCTTTCCGACACTACAAGAGAGAGAATTTGTTTACAGAAAGGTAGAGAGGTTGGCTTGAGCTATAGTTTGCTCTGGCCTGCTACTCTACACTGGGGAAGGGTGAGTGGGTAGTGAAAGAGTGATGAATGACGATGTTAAGGTAGAGAGATAGAGAGAATAAAATGAGAGAAAGGCAGGGAGGTTAACAAGAAAATAGAGCGTCCGGTTTGCTACCCTGCACTAGGGGAAGGGAGAATGGGAAAGAAAGATTGGAAAGAAAGCGAAGAGGGAAATAGACGCGCGCAAAAAAAAAAGGGGGGGGGGAGGTGGGGTGCTACAGTTTATACAATAGGCCGCTGCCACGCAAAAAGTTCAGTAAGGCCTTCACTGATTTTCTGTGAGCACACAAATCATGTCGTCTTTCCAGCACGGATTGTTCAGACAAAGGTCTATCGTCAAGCCGAGCTAACGCAGCAGCTAGTTGCCGTCTTTGCACGCAGTAACGAGTGCAGTGACAGAGAATTTGCTCCATAGTTTCATCGTTGCCGCAATGACCGCAAGCAGTACTGTCTTCCATGCCGATTCGGAAGGCGAAAGCTTTGGTGAAGGCGACACCAAGCCATAGTCGGCAAAGCACCGTTGTCTCGAGTCGAAAGAGTCCAGACGGAGGCCGGAGTCAACGAGACGTGTCCAGTCTACGCATTCGCGTGTGCCG